GGATGAATGTGTGGATGATAGATGGATAGATGATGAATGGATGGATGGATGGATGGTTGGATGGACAATGGATGGGTGGATGGCTGAGGTGATGGATGGATGATGGATGGAGGGATGATGGATGGATGATGGATGGACAGATGAGGTGATGGAAGTATGGATGATGATAGATAGATGGGTGAATGATGAATGGATAGATGGATGACTGGGTGAATGGATGGATGGATGGATGGATAAATGGATGTATGGATGTATGGATGGATGGATGGCTGGATGGATGTATGTATGGATGGACAGATGGATGGTTGGATGGATGGATAAATAAATAACGTCAGATTCACTCATTTTATTTTAAGCTAATTTTTGCTCCATCATTTGCTCCGTCTGTTCCGTGTGTTGATGTGTCTGTAAGTTTTTGGTGATTTCTAACCCTCAAACATCAGCCAATCAGGGCAACGGTAAGTTTACAAACATCAAAATGTAAAAAAAAAAAAAAAAAGTAAAATTTTAACAAGTTTTCCTCAGTTATCATAAAGAAAAAAACTTTAATCCTGCATATTAACTCCTGGATGCTGTGTGCTCTATCTGCTGCAGTGTCCTCTAATCAGAACAATTTAGACTTTAAAACAGTAAAAACAGGATTTTAGACAATCTATTTATTCTAAACAACGGAGGAGACGATTAAAGCCTCTCCACATTTCTGTCCTCTTTTTGTAAAACCGATTGTTCAACACCCTTAAACCCAAAGATAAAGCACGTGAACGATTCAGCTTTCAAACAATTCTTATTTAGGCCGTTCTCACTGGCTAACGAGGCGTTCAGGACCACCGCTAATAACTAATTATTTCTGCTGCTTGGAGGACACACCCAGCTGAACACTCAGCTGAAACAGGAGCTCTTTAGCTGTGCGTTAGCTCAATAAGAAGCTGAGTGTGAACTCATCATTTATGTGTTCTTTATTGTTTTACTTTTTCATGCAAAGATCTGTAAAAATGACGTTTGTGTTGGAACTTCTTTCTTTACAGCGATTGTTATAAATCAGACGACATGTTGTGTTTGTTTCAGATTGCACACAACTACACCTTCCTGGATTACATCCTTGGAGGATGCCAGCTCATGTTTACGGTGAGGAAGACGTTGCATGTTTCTCTGCGTTCTTCCTCTTGCTCTGCCCTCGAAAACAGGAAAAACGTTCAGATTTCCTATTTTCGTTTCCCGCGGCTGCAGCGGGATCATTTCCATACAGAGAGGGGAACGTGTGAGGGGCAGTGAGTGAATGTAAACGAGTGCAGTACAGGAGCCCTGAAGTACTGTCAAATGATGAGTGTTAGGTTCGATCATTTGGTTAAAAAAATAAAATAAATAAGGAGAGACAATTTTTAACTGAAGGGAGGGGTGAGAAAAAGTGTCACGGTTTATTTTCGTCTCCTGCCAGCAGAAACTGATGTCACACCTTTTTGTGGAACTGTGTGAGTGATGGAGAATCCTCCTTTCCTGCAGCCCGACGCTCTCTCTCACGCTCAGTTTTATTTATTTAATAATCCTGGGTGAAGGCGAAGGTGATAAAACCTGAAGGAAATCTATAACAGCAACAAACACCTCTCACTTATCAGCAGCTGGAGCTTGAATGTAGCAGAACTTACTGGTGCAAACAAACGGAGGGATCTTTAGTACACGATGATGTAAAGCCACGGCTCAAAGCTGCACATCTCAAAGTTGAGTACAAGCCGTACGTCGAAGTCCCCATCTCTGAGGGATTTGAACAGGGAATGAGAGCAAACCTGGATGTTTTTGGTGCAATCTGTCCAGGTGGGTAGAAGTTAGACTGTGGAGAACATAGGGAGTTTTTCTCTTGTCCGAGGCGGCGCAGAGTGACAGATCCTGGAGAGTGAAGGGAGCCGTTTTATCCACCACCAGGAGCAATGGAGGAGCCACGGGGTGGATTAATCTTCAACCACCCCAATCAATGGAGGAAACTATACTTTTAAATAATATCAAAACTAAAAAGCACAGTTTCCTCAAATGGTTGGGGTGGCTGATGGTGGCTTGGATCTTGAAGTGGCAACCCAATTTCTGATAGTGATCTAAAATGTATTTATTCAAAATTTGCACGTAAGAAAGCAAATACTGTAATATTCATACTGATGGGGATGTAAAGGCATGGGCGTCAGAAGCATCTGTAATGTGTGTGTATGTGTGTGTGTGTGTGTGTGGGGGGGGGGACACTATAGTGTGTGTGTGCACGTGTGCACGCGCACCAGTGTACAAAAAAGCTAAATTTCATCTATATGTCCTTACTTTAATTCCATTTAAAGCATGTTTCTCACCAAGTTTGTGTAAATTCAGCTGTTTTAAAGACATTTCAACTTTAATGCACTTTAACACACAGCATCAGATCGGCACCATTTGTGTTTATAGAGAAATAAAAAACGTCACCACTAGACTTTTTTACTTGTGTTTAACATTACTCATCTAAATGATGTTTCTCACGAAGCTTGAGGACAATAAGGTGTGGGGTTTTGAAGACATTTCAACTTTAATGCACCTGAACACACAGCGTCTCTTACACCTGCAGCGTCTTACAGCGTCACAGTTACTGCTAAGCTAACATGCTACAGACTCGCTCCACTTCTCTCAAGCACCCTAACTATATGTATATGTTTATGAACAACTCCCTGGTCAACAAGTGCCCACACTAAGCTCGCTAAGCTGGTGAGCAACACAGAAGTGTCTCCACCTCCTCCACCTGTAAGCGTTTTCTGCCGAGGCAGGAGGAGACGCACAGAAACAACGCAGGCTGCAGGTTGCTGGAGAGTTGGAGGTAACCAGGAAAACCTGGAGTGGATTTTTAGTGGAGTATTCTCCTTCTAATCAAGTGGAATTAATTTGTTCACGAAGAAAGAAACTGCGCCGACTGAACTAATGTTTCATAGTAAAAGTGTGTGTGTGTGTGTGTGGGTCGTTCATTTGGGTCCAAATGAACTTTTTTTTATGTGGGGGGGACATGTCCCTTTCACATATAATGGTTGCGATGCCTATGTGTAAAAGTCATTCATTCAACGTTTATTTAGACAGGTAAATCCCATTGAGCCTCAAGGACTCATTTACAAGAGAGACCTGATAATACATGGATGTTTTTCACTTACTAATGTTAAATTAATGCGTGTGAGTTAGGGTTGTTTTGTCTGAACAAAGTGGAGCCTGACAAACTTCAAGGTCCTAAGCTGGAAAGCCCAGTTGTCTTGACCTCTCCTTTTCTGATAAGTGTATAAGTTGATTCTCCTTTATGTTGCCCGCGGGCAGACTTTGTGGTCCGGGCATCGAATAACATCTTGTATGACTGTTTCCAATTGCTGCTCTGCTTGCAAGGATTAAACCTGGGTTGTAAAGATCTTCTCGTTGTCCTATTTGTGACTCTTTGATTAATGAGTTATGATAGGATAATTAAATTATCCAACACATATGCTTCAGTTTAATAACGTGCTACATTTTATTAATCAGAGCATATAGGGATGGGCTGTCTCAGCTAACTTTTACATATTATGTTTTAAAACAAGAAATGTGTGAATCCACTTCTTGTGTGTGCAACACACAGCATCATTTGACTTTAAACCATTGCAAACAGATTCATTATGAATTTATAATTAGTCAGAAACCCATAAACTCCCAATACCTGCATGTTTTGTGCTCAGCTTGGAAGCTTTTGTCACCTTTGTGCTGAAAATGAGCCTTTACAGCACAGAGGATTGTTGTAGTTACCATGGTAGCACTTTGTGAATTTACATTTTTTTAAATATCACGCGGTGGACTTTAAGTAGGATGATGCCCCATGGCTGTATTTTTATGTTTACTCAATCTAAATGTAATATGTAATTGTTAAGCCGATGTGCAGGTCAGTGGCTATGACTGCATGCTCTGCAGCTCTCGTGCTGCTGAGAAAAACCAAACATTTTGTTTTTGGACCACTTTGAAAAGCACTTTTATCAAACCACCACCACTGATGATGCTCTGAATTTAAGACCAATCACTGTCTGTGTGTGAAGCATTTTGTGCCTCAGAAAGATATAGTTTCTCCCCCCGATTGAAACATCTTCGTCACCTGCTGCCACGAAAGATCAGCAATCATTTTACTGCCTGTTTGTAACCACCTGTTAGCGAAATATCTCATAAACCACTGGATGTTTTTTTTAATAAAAATCACATCTACAACTGGATGGATGGATGGATGGATGTATGGATGGATGGATGCATGGATGGATGGATGGATCAATCAATGGATGTTTGGAAGGATGGATGAACAGATGAACAGACAGATGGATGGATGGATGGATGGATGGATGGATGGATGGATGGATGGATGGATGGATGGATGGATGGATCAATGAATGTTTGGAAGGATGGATGAACAGATGAACAGACAGATGGATGGATGGGTGGATGTTGATAGTTGATGGCTGAACAGACGAACGGATGGGCGGACTGATGGATGGATAGGTGGATGTGTAGTTGGATGGATAGATGGATGAATGGATAGATGGATGGATGGATCAATGGATGTTTGGAAGGAAGTATGGGCAAATGAACAGACAGATGGATGGATGGACAAATGGAAAGATGGATGGAAGGATGGATCAATGGATGGATGGATGTATGGGTGGATGATGGATAGATGATGGCTGAACAGACGAACGGATGGACGGACTGATGGATGGATGGATGTGTAGTTGGATGGATAGTTGGATGGATGGGTGGATGCATGGATGGATAGATGGATTTTGGATGGATGGACAAATGGACAGACAGATGGATGGATGGATCAATGGATGTTTGGAAGGATGGATGGATTCATCCATCCATTACCTCTTTGAACCAACTTGATTCAAGATGGCTGCCACAGCTGGTTGAACTTATCAAACATATGGCTGCAGCTCTGTCAGTTTTACAGACACCGAGCTAAAATCTGTTTTGGTGGTAGCTGAGAGTCACCCCATCAGCTGGTCTGAGCACTAACAGATCGTGCAGGAGTTATGTTTTATGTTAATTTTTGTCAATGAAAAAACATCTCTTTAAATCATGGTAGCACAAACACGTTCTTTTCTCCATTTGCTTCACATGCAAACCTGCGTTCTTTAGCCAGCTTGCACCCAAATCCAGACCCCTGCAAACATTTAGTCTCATATTTCTACACTCTGAACCAGACTCACACGATAGGTTCAAAATTACTAAATTGGGTTTTCTGCACATGATCTCGTGGAGGCGCAGACGCCTTCTCATGCTCACACGCTAACACTGCAGATCAGTGCAGAAGGAGGTGCTCTGTGATGTTCAGTCAGATGTAGAGAAACTTTAATCCTAATCTCCAGGAGGGGAAATCCTCTCCTCCTCAGCGCTGTGGGAGATGGAGAAGAGCGCAACATTTCTCCGTTACTCGACACAAAAAGACAAACTGCGGTGACTAAGGCCTCATTTCAGCCGAATCAGGCTCATTTTTAAAGATTTAAATCGTTCAGGTCTCTGGAGACAAAATGAGCTAATGGAGTTCTGAGGCAGAGTTATAGAAAATATTCAACGACAGAAAAATAAAATCCAGAATTAAACGATAAATTTTCAGTGGAAGGATTAAATATATGGATATATAAATATATATATTTATGGCTATATACCTGGATTATTGAGCATGGACATTTTTGATTAAATATATGCAATAAATTGAAGAAATCATCAGCTTTTTTACTGATTCAGTATCAACTTTCATTGTTTAACAGCTGATAGAACCACACACAAAGTTAGTCAATTTTTTTATTAAAATTTTATTATCAATGTTATTATGATCATTGTTGCATACAATGACAATCATTACAGTGCAAAAAGAAATGCAAGAGAAAGAGAAAAAGAAAGAGATAAAAACAAACCACTCTGTTAAGAGACATTTGTACATATACTTTGTATAAGATCCATCCATCGATCCAACCATTATCTTTACCCGCTTCTTCCATTTTGGGTCACGGGGGTCGCCGGTGCCCATGTCCAGCAATCACTGTGTGAGCGGCGGGGTACACTGGACAGATCGCAAGTCCATATATAAGATCAGTTTGTAAAGTATGAGACTGAGCTCTTACAGAAGCTAAACTTAGCAAAACAGTAGCTAAATGCTAAAATTAACTAAACTGCTAAAATGAGTTAACACATAGCTAAAAGTTAAAGTCAATTTAACAGTAAGAAAAGCTAAAATCAGCTAAACATGAGCTAAAAGGGAAAACTAGCACAAAGATCAGCAGTGGTGGCCATCTTGGATTTTGACGTGGCAACCCAATTTCTGACAGTGATCTTTCTAACATCTTATGCAGCCTCAAGCCAAACTGGAAGTCAGTACATTGATCCCTCATTGCGGGGGTTACATTCCAGAGACCCCCACGGTAGGTGAAAATCTGTGAAGTAGCGGCGTTATATTTATTTTATTATATATATATATATATATATATATATATATATATATATATATATATCTAAGGTTTTATAAACTACACTCATTAACATTTCCCACTCTCTAATAAACACTTCAGTGTTTCCCCTACCGTTATACCAGCAGGGCGTCCCACCCTGTCAACAGAACCGAGCGCACCGCCTACTTATTTTTCAAGTTATCCAGCTCACAAGACAGAAGAATGGACGAATGGATGGAGGGTATTTCCAATTCCCCCATTTGCTCTGTGATGGGGGACAAAAAAGAATCAATGTAACGCCGCCCCCCCACCTCTATCACCCTAACCCTAACTCAACAGTCTGAGTGCTGGTGCTGTAACTTTTGTAGTTTAAATATCTGAATCTAAACACCAAGTACCACCAAAATCATGAATTGACTCTAAGCAAACTTCTGAACTCTGAAAGTCTGGAGGGACCGACAGTTTCTGGTTGTCTTCAGTTCACACAATCTCTGACCCCCCCCCCCCATCCATCTCTGACTGTTTAACTCCAAATGTGTCAGAGCGATCCGGGCAAATATTCAACAGGGAAACCAATAATGAAACTGCAGTGTGAATGTCTGCTGGTTGACAGTAGTGTGTCAGGATGGGCTCTGCCTGTCGAGGAACGAATCAGTAGTGAAATCTCCCGTAATCAGGTGTTGTTTGAGTTGTTTATCCTGTTTTATTCAATCTGCCCATGTATTGAAATGACTAACAGCCCTGACAGATGTCATCTGTCAGCAGAGAGGGCTCTGCAGAACGAGCACGGTGAGTTCATCCATCAAACGTTCGTTTGGTGACATGTATTTTCAGCCACACAAAGTAAAACAAAAACAACCGGAGACGAAGTTGAACACTAACATGGATGCTAGAAAGAAATTTCCTGCTTAACAGTGAAAACATTCATGAAGGGAAATTTAAAGACGTCCCTTTAAAATTAAGAAATATACTCTTTTTATTGCCATAATCAGTCAGCTGCTTGAACTGTCGAAAAGTGATATTGCTGTATTTTTATTAAAAATAAATTTCCTTACTTTGTTTTTGTCCTGGCTGCTGGAGGCACCAGCTCCTCCACCACCCTGAACGGAACCAGAACGTAAAGATAAAGGATGGTTCAATGTTTTTTTTTCATCCTACATGAGATAAAACAGATCCTCGTCATCAGTAATGAGAGCATTGCTTCTGTCCGTCTTGGTGAAGAAAGAGATTAGTCTAAAAACAAAGCTCTGGATTTACTGGTTTGTCTACATTCCAGCTCTCACCTGTAAGATTTGGTTCTCGAAAGAACCTGATCCTGGATACAAGCATCTCAAATGAACTTTGTTCGTAGGATGGCCGGGCTCAGCCTTAGAGACAGGAGGAGGAGCTCTGTCATCCGGAAGGGGCTTAAAGGAGAGCCCCCTGCTCCTTTGGATTGAATGGAGCCAGCTTAGGAGGTTCATCTGATCAGGATGCCTCTTGGACACCTTCATTTGGAGGTGTTTATGGCATGTCCCACTAGGAGGAGACCCCTAGTCAGACCCTGAACTCTCTGGAGGGATTTTGTATCCTCTCTGTTCTGGGAACACCTCCCAGGAGGAGCTGAAGTGTTTCTCTGCGGTCTGTGTTTGCTCTTGGACCTGTTGTCTCTACAACCCAACTTGGAGAAGTGGTAAATAATGGAAGATGGAGATGGATTGAAATGTGCTGTACAAATAACTGAGTCGACTCAACAGCTTACATAATCTTTTTTTTTTTTTTATTACTTGGAAGTATTTTTGTTTTTTGTATTGTTATCTGTTAAAAAGGATTTTAAGTGTCACAATAGGCTGGTATTGGTGAACCCAATAGTGCAGGCAGGCAAGGACTCAGGATGTATAAAATAAAGAATTTATTAACAAAACAAAAGAGCTGACAGGGCAGCAAAAACAAACGGATGAACAGGAGGTACTCACAGAACAGACAGGTGTGGACAGAAGACAATGCTAGGACAAGGACTAACACAGAGACACAGACTTGTATACAAGAAACACCAATTAGACCAAGTAAAGACACCTGTGAGGAATCACAGATGCCAGAGAAAAAGACAGAGGATGACACACGACACAAGATGAGGCTAGATACTAAAGAAACACAAACCCTATAAAAAGAAACAGAGGATCGGAGGAATGCAGCCATAAACACGACACCAGGGACAAAACCACAACTCCTACAGTAAGTTTGACTTTACTCATAGCTTAACAGTCGTAAGAACAGTTTAAAGATTATGGCATGTTGTCTAAGATCATTTAACATTTTGGTATTATTTCAAAGAACTAGCATAATGCTAAACTATGCATTTCTGTATGAATGAAAAATGGAAAAACAAATAATTTATTTATGTCACTTATTTGTTCAGGTAAAAATAAAGTCAACTAGCATTCCTTAAAGGAACACATATTGTCCTCAA